GTTTTAACCTTAAATTCTATTTTTGACTGTTAGTGCTTTTCAACTTAACAGTATTCTCTCAATGCTTTTCTTAGTATGTTGATTTAAATGGTAAGATTTATCACTGATTTTTAGAACATTCAAATGTGTCAAGTAACCTTCTATTTTCAATTGTCAAATCATAGTTGTATATTACAATAAATAAAGGCAACTATTTTATATAATCATCAACAGCTGCAATCAGGAAACAAGCATTGTATCACCTTTTCTGTGAAAAATAACTGCAACTTTATGGACAGAGTTTATTTCTACTTCAGAAAGCAATTAATATTACCCCAGTGAATATTTTTAAGGCATAAGAGTTCCTGTCAGTCAAGAGTTAAGACCAGTATTAAGATGCTGGAACTGATCTTAACCCTTTTTAGATCAACATGTTATTAAAAAAAAAATCAACTTTCTTAAAACTGGGCTGCATTCAAATTTGAAATGCAACAGAATGTTATGAGACATTTCAGGACTAAAGAACAATCAAATAAGCATTACCTAAGTGGGTTTAATACATTCTAGTGCATGTTATAAGATAACTATTAGTGTCCTTAGTTTAAGGACACATAGCATTATGTTCTATTTCACTTATTACATATAATCAGTAGTCACCTGAAAGAAAATATTCTTAATAAGATAAAAAATGCAAAAGGAGTCTGGTGACTAAAGAAAGTTAGGGATTAATGAATACAGTCAGATTTTTATATCTGCATAATTCTTTCTCCTAAAGCAAAATGAACCCTCAATCTCACAATAAGAAATTAGTTTCAGCTACTATTACTTGGCCTCTGAAATTGCACAAGGCAAAATACTGATGATATCTTCCAGAACCTAAAAGGACGGACAAAAAGTATTAAATATCTGTGGTGGTTTTTTAGGTTGTGGCTCTGGGGGATCTACATGATAGAGGGTATTCTAAGACACAGATTTAGTTGTGGAACAGAATCAAGCGCGTAGTCTAAGCAAGCTGCCTCTTCAAAAGAAAGCTGCAGGGTTTTCATCTTGAAGATTAATCAAGACCCAGAAATACATAAGCATCCATAAAACTCAATTTATTACTAATCCTGCCACAAATTAGGAAAAAAGTACTGACGTATATAAGGTAAACATACTATACTTTCACCGTGTATTCATAACTAATTTATTTATCTTTTTATAGCAATTAAAATGTTCCAACTCATTGAGAAATCAAACGCCACACTTACTCAACTTATATTGTGAAGTTGGTACCTTACAAAATACCCTTCCCACACACTTTTCAATGAAGTGTTAATTCCAGAAGCCCAGATAGTTTCATTAACATTATAGCATTAGAAAGCAAATCAGTTACAAATCAATGCATTGCATTAGCAAGAACAGTGGGAGGTACATTCAGAATGAAAATAAGGGAAGGAAACAAAGGAAACAGAAAACTGTATGTAGACTAGACACAAAAATACAGAAAGCATACATACCTGGATTAAATTCTTCTTAAAAATAAAATACAAATTACATACCACCATCTTTATATTATTTTCCGTTTATGCAGAAACACTGTACACAAATCCATTACTATTTTGCTGTTCTTCCTCCAGCCTTGGAAACGGTACGATACAACATGAGGTTGCTGCTCAGTGATTGCACTCAAGTGCAGTCAGGCATGCTGCTAGTCCGCAACGGTATCTGCTCCAAATTCCACGGTATTCCCTAGGCAGCGTTAAGTGGGGGGTTTTATCCTCCCTCTCCCATTTTCGTCCCCCCCCCCCAGCTCCTACAACTTGTGCTAACAGCTAAGAGTAATCATGGTGTTAGCTACTAATTCATTCCGCAGCTCAGTTTTATTTCTCCTCTACGAAAGCAGGGCAGGAGTCAGCGTCCTGCTCCCGTTCAAAAACAACATCAACGCGGGAGAACAGTAATCATCCTGGTGTTTTATGTGCTGGGAACTTCACCCACTGCTGCTTTCTCCTGCCACTGCTTCCGAATGCAGCATTCCCCGCAATAGGCACAGCCCTCCTGCGTGGAAAGGCAGCCCCTGTGCTTCCCAGATCCAGGCAAATGGGCTGCCTGAGAAACCTCGCTCACAGACACGGCACATGCAGTGCGTCGTGAGAGCTGGCAGGTGCACCAGTGGCCGCAAGGATAACAGTGGGAGATGGTATCTCTTGCTTGGCAGGGCCATGTTTCAGCCTAACCTTTTATTTATCGGTCTGACACGACCCAGAGAAACAACTGTTCAGCTGTTTCTTTCAGCAGCGCTTTCATCAACAGCTGATCATTTTTGCTAATGAATCTGCTAAATAGCTTCTTAACTACTGTCATTCCATGATGCTTTAAGGGTGCTCCAGATAATAGGAAACATATCACTCACTTTCAGTGAAAAGTACTTTGCATGTTCCCAATTAATACCTAGACAATAGGACTCAGTCATTTTGTTTACTGCAATTCAAATAGCAGAATGGACTATTATTGAGCATGCAGTGAGTAAATTATCCTGTGCAGAACACAACGGGTGTTTTTTCAAATGTTAGCAGGTTTAACAGTGTGTTTAAGGCCTTGGATGTATTGATATTTAAAACTAACACATGAAAACATGAAAAATGCATCCAGAATGGTATAAAACCATTCTACAAAGTATATACATAGCCCAAGTGTAAATCTTTCACAAAACATGTGTACAGGCATAAAACCATGGGTATGGTATTATCCTCTTTAATCTTGGGAGACAGAGTGACTGGAATGCCATAAAAAATATTAAATTATATATTTTTCCTGTATAAAAATAAAAAATCCCAAACTTTGGACATTCTGGTAATAGTTGACACATTTGTAACAGGGAAGCTTGTAATTTGGTCACTTACTTAAACATATTAAGGATACCTTGAATAAAGGCAGGACTTAAGAATGTTTAGCAATTTGTAGTAATAGTTAAAACTTACTGGTTGTAGTTCTCACTTTGTTCAGTCCTTGTGTTATTGTTAGCAATGTCATCTTGGATGCAATACTTTACATACAATTTATCCATTGAGAAGTTCTCTAAAATTAATACTTTGGGGATTTTTGTATATTATTATAAAAATAATTATGGACTATTGTATTTATTATGTCCTGTTGAAATGAATGCAACCCAGAAATACTCCATTAATTAGATTTATAGTTAAGAGCCAGATGAATGAATGCTTTATTATTCAAATCTTATTGTAGTTATTAGCCTGCAGCAATTACTTAATATTCTGTCTAAACTGAAACAAACTGATTCTTCATATCTGCCATGTTGCATGCCAAAGTATAAACTTTTATTGTACAATATTGTACAAAACTTTTATTGCACAATAGGAAATATTCCACTGATATCAATACTCGCTGACACAGTCATAACTACATGAGATGTACCAATAATGCCTCTCAAAATCAACAGTGCTGTTCATGTAAAGATTAAGAAAGGAAAACCAGGCAGCTTAATCAGGCAGGGCCACCCACAATAGATACACACTTGCAACAGAAATAAATATGGGTTGTAAGAGATTAAACAGCTGGTCTTGAGACTACAGACAATAAAACCAGTAAGTATTGGGCCTGTTTTGCAAAAATACAACGTTTTTTTCATTTAATAAAAAAATGTGTTCACAAAGAACGTTAACTCATAACACTTAATGTTGTCATCTTCAAGGAAGTTGTTAAGTATTGACCCTGTTTATAGTAATCTATAACGTCATTACGTTGAATGTTTCACCTGGAAGCCACTTATTTGATGACCCAGCACAAGCAGGACATTCTGCTCTATCAGATGCATCATTCAATTGATATTTCAGAAGGAAATAAAAACCCGGACATCAATCCAAAAACCTCCAGAACTAATCATGACTTATCTTCCCTGGAATTGCAATTCTGTGTAGAACGTGCCAAGGCAGAAAAAAGCTGACTTTGCTTATAATGATTCTGACCAATCAAGAATCAAGTTTCATATATAAATATATACTAATTACTTACTTACAACTGATGTCATAACAGAGTTACCTTGTACCTCTGTTCAGACCATCCTCACATAGATATGATGTCAGGAACTTCCTATAGTAAGTACATGAGCAGTTTTAAGTCTGTACAGTAGCTAAAATTCTCACAGTTCTGGAAGCATAGATACTTGTAAGTCAATGAATGGAAGGAAACTACAGTAAATCTAGAGGAGGTATCCATGCCAGCCTTTGATAAACTAACACAAAGGAGCAGTTTGCATGAGTGGCCCACGAGTGTTTTTGTGGTTTCTTGCCAGTACCCTGATCTGTCAATGAAGTTGGCCTTAGAGAGCCATAGGTTTAAGCATTCCCACTGATTTACTGTATTTCCCAAACACAGTGCTCAAGACGTAACTCCCACACATAGAAGGAACAGTAGAAATACATGTATTTATAGGTGAATATATACACAATGTATAGAGCTGCAGTTTGTTCCACAATTCTAGCTAATCCCTGTGGCTTAATGGACAAAAAAGTGAAAACCCACCCAAACCAAACACTATCACCACCCACCCCAAACCATATCCCAAACAAAGGGCAGCTGCAATCCTTCATCGAGAAAAGTGTTATTCTATGGGCCTTTTTCCAGGATTACATGATTAAGACTTTCAGAGATGATTCTTTGAATTCTTAGAAATAAAAGCCTGTCCTCTGAAAATATTTCAATTATTTAAATCACTGTTTTTACATAATAAACCTGACGTGAAATAACATATGACTATTTTATATATTACTTGACAAGTTCTATTGTTTAATAGTTATATTCAAATGCTGACAACAGTAAATTGATGGAACAACTTTGAAGTAATTTATATTTCACAATGGATTTCACGATGGAAAGTTGGAAAAGCTGTCACAGAGTTAAGCTCTCTCCCACACGACACCTCTCCAGCCTGCTTAGGGGATGGTTATTTCTTCCCTTTTATCTAAGAAAGGCAATAACTGTGGCAATTCTTAAACCTAATCAGTGGATTTAAGAGAACTCTAGTCAGGCGGTTGTGACACCCCGCTGCCGCGGCCGGGAAGAGCCCTTTCCCGAGGGAAGAGCCCTTTCCCGAGGGATGCGCCGCTCCCGGAGGCCACGCCGCTCCCCGCGCGCCCCCTGCCGGCCGCTGCCCTCAGTGCCGCATCCCACACCTCCAGCTCTTCCCAACATCGCTAAAAGCCCATGGGATACAGCCTATCCCCCTTTTTATCTTTTGGAAGCACACGCACAGAGTTTAAACTACGTTATACTTTTTTTTTTTCTATGCAATTATTATTTTATTTACTGCAAAGCTCAGTGTTTTCACTAAAAAGCTGAGTTTGCAATAAGAAGGGGAAAGGGGAAATAACTCTTTAGAAGATTCCAATCTTGGTATTTTGTAAAGCACCTGTGAGCTGGTTTATTAAGGTGCTAGAGAGCACCCAAAGGAGGGCAGTGAAGATAATGAAGGGCCTTCAGAGGAAGCCGTGTGAGGAGCAGCTGAAAGAACTTGGTCTGTTCAGCTGGAGGAGAGTGAGGGGAGACCTCACTGCAGTTACAACTTCCTTGGGAGGGGAAGAGGAGGGGCAGGCACTGATCTCTGCTCTGTGGGGACCAGGGACAGGACCCCAGGGAATGGCCTGAAGTTGTGTCAGGGGAGGTTTAGGTTGGATATTAGAAACAGGTTCATAACCCAGAGGGGTGGTTGGCACTGAACAGGCTCCCCAGAGAAGTGGGCACAGCACCAAGGCCGACAGAGCTCAAGGAGTGTTTGGATGATACTCTCAGGCCCATGGTGTGACTGTTGGGGATGGTCCTGTGCAGGGCTGAGGGCTGGACTTCATGATCCTTGCAGGTCCCTTCCAACTCAACATATTCTGTGCTATAACATGGTTACTTAAAACAGGAGGAAGAGAAAGAATGTTACAATAATACCTTTTTTAACTATGAAGCAAAGGAGAGAACTGAAGTTTAACTGTGGATGAGAGCATGTTATATTCCTGTTTGTTGATATGCTATTATGACAGTCAAGAGCAAAAGCTTAGGTTTCCGACCCTCCGTGTGAACCATTGAATCTCACTTTTTGAAGAGAAAAGCAAAGTGGTAATTCTTTTTCTGACTGTCCCTAACAGAATCTTCAAATAATGGTACAGCAGCTCAAAAGTTTCTCCCAGGGTCTGTAATACTTAATACCTTCAATTAACTGAAGAAAGGAATTTTCAAGTTTCACAATGATTTAAGAGGCAGAGGCAGGGAATAAATTACAGAATATCTAAACTCACAATACCACAGGAACGTCTAAGTTAAACTAAGCCTTCAAATAAGTTAACTGTAGCTTTATTCAGATAAAAGACATCCCTATTTTCTTTTATTCACAATTGTATCAAATTGTAAAACATTTTCTCCCCAAGAAACTTTCAGAGGAACTTATTCCAGAAGGAAAAAAAAGAAAAAAATCAAATATGTTAGTGTGTTTACCTAGAATGATAGGAAATAAAAGAAACAAAAACAATTTGGTCAAAATTGATGCAAGGGTGATTTGATCATTTGAATCTATCATGGAATCTATCTTGCACAAAAGTCATAAGACATGGAAGACAAGGTGGTAGAATAAATTTTAACTTAAAACACAATCCAATTATAATTAATCTGAGCTGGATAATTTACCAACAGGGCAGCATAAAACTGCTAGTTTTATGGAAGAACTTGCAAGTTATATTTATTGCTTTTTGTGACTCTTCTCCATGCTTCAGATATGGGAGTTGTTCTTCTGAACCACAGCTGAATTTCTCATCCATTATCTCTACTTAGAACTGTGCATTCCAGCCTGGAATCAGGGTGAAGTCATGCACGAATTTTGAAACCATGATAGAAGATGAATTAATCTCCCATGATCTTTTTGAGGAAAGAATTCATGTTATTTGCAATCATTGCACTCCTTGTTGTGGGTTCAGTGACCACAAGTGAGATACTCTTGAACTTCTGCCCTTAACAGTGAATCGCCTTTTCCTCAAGTAAACTTTCCAAGCACAACTTTTTGAAAGCCTTAAAAACAACTACAAAGTGATCTTAGAACTGCCAGTCCAATTGCCCCACATCAACCTTTCTACCTTTATGTAAACTCAGACAGTTCAGACACAAGATAGTCAAGATTATTTATATTATAGAACTAGGACTGCTTGATGTAGCCAATCAATAACTTTCTTCATATAAAAACTGTGATTCATAAAGCAAAGACATCCCAGAAATTCTTTGAATCATCAGGTATTTTGAGCTTCCTCATGCACCAATTAACATTCTAATCATTGTCAAAATATCTTCAAGCTGGCAAATTTGCACAGATCCTAAAACCATTTAATCAAAAAGAGCACTTCTACATTTCTTTGTTTTCAAATTGTCAGTTTGTCAATTTATGTTTAAATATTTCATCCTTGAAACAAATTTACAAGACTAAGAAATGCAGTTTGTTTGTTGCCAGTCGTTTAGCTCAATCAATATGCTGATTGTCACTTGAACACAACAACTTTTTAATTGCATCAGGATACAAAATATCTATCATTAATACTTCAAGAAAAGGAAATACTTGTTTATTTCCACTTCAAGACATACTTGCATACAAAACATTTCTTGGAATGGAGGGTTAAAAAATTGTTCAACTGAAAGATTGATTAAAAAAAAAGAAAAAAAAAAGGGCAATTTCCAAGACATATTGGAATATTTTAAAGGGAAGTTTTCTTTTAATCTCATAGCCCCATGGCTCCTAAAATAAAAATGACTACTGCTTACCCAGCCCTAAATTCCCATTGCTGTCACTGTGTAATACCTGCTTCAGTATTAGTCTATCAAGTTTTGTTTCTGAATAAGACAGTAAATCAATAGTGCTGACAAAACCAGGCTCCTGATAACTTCTCTATTAGTGAGCTTTCTCATCCTGAGCATCACCACTGCATCCATCATGTAATTCACCACAAATCACAAAGAACAGCATTAGAACAATCCACGATGAATATTTAATTGTACATAATATTTTTTAATATTGAAACACACCAACATTCTTTGAATTAATGGCATAATTTGTGATCTATGGATGTATTATGCTCATTTTGTAAAGGTAGGAATAAGGCATCTAGAGAGTATTTGTTGAGGCAAATCTGTGCCACTGTCCCTGTTGACCTCCAGGTTATAAAACCAATCAATTATAGTGCCACTATTTCACTGGCTTTTGTCTCCAATACTCACTTTTATCAATAGTTGTGGAATCATACAAGGGGGAACTTACACGAGTCACCTCCTGCTCACTATCAACCTCAGGAATCAATTACTAATTTATAAAAAGCATATCCCTCTCCGAGATGTGACATTTATTTACTTGAATATATTTCAGCAGCAAAGCAGTCTCTGCACCACTTAGGATTAGTAGCTACAGATACAATCAAAGTGACAGACACAACTGAGGTAGGAGGGAGGAAAGGGGAAAATCCACTTGATTGTACTCATGGCTGACACCCAGTTAAAAGAAAAAACCCAAACCTCTAAGTGAACCTTTTCATAATAATTGCCAGTACTCCACAGCACTCATTTCTAAGCTGTTAGAGAACTGAGGCAACCCAACAAAACCTGTTCACTGTTCCTGGCACTGCAGTGAACATGAAACTGCAAGACAGATACTAGGACTGGGTTATTGTAAAAGAATTGTGGTTTGGATTTTTGTCTTTAATCAATATGCAGAAATGCAATTAGAGGACCCTCTGGTTCTGCATTGTCTTTTTAGAAGTGATTAATTCCTGATATTAAGTTTTCCCTCAAACACTTAATTCCTCTCCCCTCTCAAATATGGGAAGGATTTCCCTAATTCTTTTATCTTAGTATTGCTAGATCTTATATGATTGCAAAAAGGTTTAACTGTTCCTATTTCAAGTAGGCATCAAGGCAATTTATTATCTGGAAAGACACATTGGCCAAAACAGTTTGGCACTTTTCCTATCTAGTCAATGTTTGAATAAATATTCATCAGCTACAATGCCTCTGGTGAACCACTGGGCTGTCATCTCATATTTGATCAGAACAGCCTAATTCAATTTCCTATGTCCATAGATTATCATTAAAAGCATACACTCCAAATATTCTTACTGGAACTTCAGCCATCTGTATAGTTTCTACTGCAGTAACAATTCATGTTTGTTCCACCTGTGCTAAAATACCTGAAGACCATCAAGCTCAGCAAACCACAGCAACCCTCCCCTATTCAAGCTAAACCCACTTCCCTACACTTCTAAGAACAGCTAAAAACTCCCCGAAATTTCTGTTACTTCCCTGTTCTTAAAGGCCTCCAGTGATTGATTTCCTGCCTACAGCCTGCTCCAATGCCTAAAAACCTCCCTCATGGTTACTAAAGGTTGTTATTTCTTTTCTCAGCTCTTTATGGAGAGAGACAGTTCCCTTCTTGTGGGAGTAGTATCTTACAGTAGTTGCCCACACATACAGATTACTTTCTATGGAAAATTACTTACTTTGCTTTATCTGTTGGCCTCCATTATGAGGCTCTGTGAATATTGTATCTTCTGCAAAATACATCGGGACTGTTTATTCTTCTGATCTTATTGTGCCGCATAGGGGTTTTTTAATTGATGGCCCTTTTTATCCCCAATAGTACTTGCAAGTGCAAAGTTTATTTTGATAGGCATTGGCAGAGGTTCATCCTTCATGCCTCTCAGATTTTCTGAGCAAACAATGGCACAAAGTGTCACATCAATTGTGTTATATCAATGATGAGATGATACCAGTGCACTGTTTCTGAAAACTAGTTTATCTTCAGAAAGAAAAGGCAAAGCAAAGCAACCAAGACAACCCAAAATTTAGGAGATTGAAGCAAAGGATTAAAGACGCCAGTGTATTTCAGGCAAAATAACTTTATAAGAAGAAAAAAAAAATCTTACTCAAATTAGTCAGTAGGTTAAAGAAAAAAAAATTCTTTACATTTAAGCAAACTACAAATCTGATGTAACAAGTGATCAGACCCTACATTTTGTTTTGCTTTGTGCAGTATCTCTTAATGTGTGCATAGGTCCAGGAAAATCAAGAGCTTATTGGAGTAAAATGCTAGTATGTAACTTTGTATTATATAAGCATCCATACTTTTCACTTTAAAAGGCCATTAATTAGGAATAACTTCAGAATGAAATTCTAACAAATATTCAACAGTAGACACGTGCTTGGTGCAGGAATCACGAGAAGAGCACAAACTACACAACTGAGAATATGAAAGTTGTCCATTTCCCCTTACTACCTTTTCCATTATGATGGAAAAATCTTAACATGATGTTCAGTTATATAGCATTAGAATGATTTAAATACTTTTAGGTTAACGTTTCCTGTCCTCTGAGGTCTAATTCTATCTCTGCAAGGCAATTCAGCCCTTCAAGAACTGTGTTTTCAAAATCTCCAATGTCCCAGATTTCTACTAAATTTACAATTAGAAGCATATGAAGAACCAAGTTTAACACATGGCTTATAATGAAACAGTAACTTGAGATTTAAGTGACCCTTTAAGTATTTCTATAAATTTTCCTCTTCAAAGAGTTCTATGTGAGGTAAATGTTTACACATCCCATCCCACCTCATCTTCAAATTCTTCAAAGACTTACAATAACTTTGCCACCATCTCTCAGCCCCAAACTGATGCTACACTAACTGCTGAGCAATCTGCTCTTATTTCAGTGCACTAAGATATTTTGACGACTTCGCAACAGAAAAAAATTCAATGGCACAGTGACAACCCAAATTCCAGCTCATACATATTAACTTACTTACTTAACTATCTTCTAAATGCTGACCTCAAAATTACTTTGAAGAACTGTAGTGGGAAGAAGTGCAATACTAATATCCCTTTATTCAAATACTTTTAACATTTGAACAAAATACAGCTGATTCATCAAGTCATAAAGTTGTTGACCACATGACATAAATGATTTGGTTTTAAACTCAGAAATGAATGAATCTCACTGACTGGGCAACTAAACACACACTGAAGGATGGTTGATCACAGAAGAATTTTTGAAAAAGCATCTTAAAACTACTGCAAACTCTCTCTGCAAAACAAAACTGGATTATTTGACATATCCAACTCTTGTGTTTGATGTCAGCTAGACCAGGATTTGTCCTGTCTTCCTCCTAACAGTGAGATAACATTTGGCACAAAAGAAAGAAGAGATCAAACCAGTGGCAGACACGGTAAGATGCAGAAATTGAGATCATGTGAATCAGATAAGTATTTTTCCCATGACACCTCAGTACAAACAGATTTTTTTCCTCTTGCTTTTTGCACAGGCACAGTCTATGTATTATCATAAAGGCAAGAGAATTCAGTAAAAAGGAAATAGGACTTGCCCCCAAAAGAACAGGAAAAAACCCCAAACATCTGAAAATAAACTGATGAAGGTGCATCTTGGATGGAGTTTGACTCCTATGTACTTAAACAGGTTTGGCTTTACCATGAAACCGTAGAAGTGACATTTTACAGCAAACTACCTGAGAATAAGCAGTGTTTTCAAAAGACCTACACACAAATGAAACAGGAAGACAAGTCCATGACTCTTTAGCTTTTTGGTAGGTCACTGTACACACTAAAGACATAACTGCAGTGTTTCTCAGAAGTTATCAACAGGCTGGAAGACTGGGCAAAGACTGATGACATCTGAATCCCCAACCTTTGTGATGAGGTCATGGTTTGTACAGTTTAAGAACAATAGTGAGAAATAAGATACTTGGTGCCATTATTGACCACATAAACAGATGAAGAGATAGTAATAATTTCTCTTAATTATCATGTCTGATAAAAAAAAAAATCCCTATTGAGGCATTGGTATCATCAGCTCATTCCTGCATTTTAGAAGACTTTTTTTTCTAGGAAAAAAAGTTCTTAAAACAATTTTTATTAAATATTATTGAAGTACTGATGTTTCTCAATATCAAAAATTAATCAAAAAAAGATGTCTGAGGTTATCAGTTCTGGATTAATATACAATACAGACAAGATGGCCAATCCACAATCACTCCTCAGGAATCTAAAGTTTCAGAATCTTGTCCTCTTTCTGTTTTAGAAGAAAAAAAATCCTGAGGTGAGGGAACAACATGGATTTAAGAACCAATGGAAGGAACTGTCTCTACAGTCAGAAACTCAGCAGTCACATCATCAGGTCCTACTGTAACTAAGTAGAAGTTTATATGAACTAGAAACCTTATCCTAAATTCTCCTTCAAACCTTGAACATTTTTTGAATTATAGTAACACATTGGTAGCTTTAAGAGCTGTTCTTACCTTCTGAATAGCCCTGGCCCATCGTGCTTTCGCAAAATTACCTCCATTACCCTGGTCTGCATTTCTCCTGGAGAAAGGGAGGAGAAAAATAGTCAGAACAGCAAAACATGGAAAGAAGTAACTAAAAGAAGTCTGGAAAGTCTGTGGGCAGGTAGGTCAAAGTCAGATAATTCCATCACCCATGTCCTCTGTATATAGTATTATCTATATACTGAAGTATATTAGCTCTGTAGAAGTTATTCTTAACATCAAGTTATGAAAGCTTATCCTGGTAATTTGCATAAGGGTAACTTTACACTTAGCAGGATGTGCTGGTTCTGGCTGATCCAAATTTCACACACTCTTATCCTCTGACTCAACATGAGCTGTTTAGTAAGGACTGTTTCAGTGAAAGGCTTTGCTTTGTCAATATTAAATTCAAACAAGCAGAGGAAAATAATGGAGGAATGCACTTCATTCACTTTATTTTATTTATATCTATCTGATGAATGACAGAAGACCATGAGCTAAATCAATAGTTTTTGCAGAGATGATCAGGGTAAAGATAATGCATTTTTACATTATTTACATCTATTTTCAACTCCAGTCCACTTTCTCCAAAAGGCAAATAAAAGCAACAACTTAAGAAAATCTGATATTCCTGTTACAAACAGCTTTGTTTCTCTTCTGGGTTTTGAATGTTAAAATAAAATACTGAAGTTGAAATATTTTTTTAAATTTTATAATTAATATTTTTGTCTTATTTTAGCCAGAATTGAAGATAGGGGTAGAAAAATGTATTTCTTTCCTGCATTTCCCTGTTTATTTCCAAATACTGTGCCACTCTCTACTTAGGCTGTTGGTTGATAAAAGAAACTAGAATGTATACAGTAAAGAGTCTCTTGACCTGATGGTGATTTGACTGTAAAGTGAGACCACAGCACCCATATAGTTGATATACAGGGAAAAATAAGCAGACACTGGACAGTAACTATGGCAAAACACATGGAAGTATTTTTATATGCTGATTTTCTCTGCTGTAATGGAATACTAAACTGCATTCTGCAACAATTCAGATATATTCAAGCAGAGAAGACTGGCTCACAATATCACCTTTGGATTACAGGGGGCTCCCTGAAACTCAAGAGTTCACTGGCTTGAAAAGACATGATCCCTGTTCCTCATACTGTTATCAGAGTATAAAAGACCGTTGGTAAAGGAATGCATTTCCAATTCTAGTGGTTCATACATCAGGATTACAAGGTCCCTAGAATTTCCTCAGTGAAGGCATTTCTTGTAAGACACAGAGCAAGCACTACCACAAGTCTTTGCAAACTGAACTACAGGAATTACTGAGAAACCACATGACATAAAACCAGCAACCTCTCCTCCCCCGCCCAAAAAAGCCACCAAATAGAAGTTTACATTTATTCCAACAAATCTTTGAAACATAATCTGTTATGCAATTGGTTGCCCCCACACAGCAGTTGCACACTTGCACAGGCGAATTGTAATGAGGGCTCATTATTCAGTTATTTCATAACGCCTGTGAACTATGTTGTTTTAAGCTGAAAAATGCTGATTCAGTTCATGGCTGTTAAGCACAGGTTAAAACTGTAGACTCTACCACTTTTGCCAGATCCTAAGTAATTTAAAAGACACTTGTACAGTAACAGTTAAGTTGCAAGTATACAGTAATATTCTACAGACACAATTTACAGAGGACAGTAGCAGCCTGTTTAGTAAGTAAAGTTGTTGGAGCGTATTTCTATTGTATTTCAGTGTCATCCCTTGGTTTACACATTACTATTTAATTATCTTGGACTTTTGGAACAGTGCTCTTTTATTTGAGGAGAAAAATGTTCTCTCTGATACACACAGCTGAGTGCACATGATGCAAACTAAGTGTGAAGAGGCTTTTCTTCCCCTGCCCTCATCTCTGAGGCTGCACCCTTGCAGGTTCAGCCTCTTCCCTTTTCACAACTATTTTCTTTTTTAAATTTTCTTATTGTAAGGTAAATCAACCAAGTGATACTAGTAATTGTTCCCCTTCATTCTGCAGCTGTTAACTAGACTGGAAATACTAGGTAATAATTAACCTTAGAAATTATTAAGGTAATTAACCTCAAGGTCAGATGGAGAGTGGGTTGCCAGTGTTGATTCAGAGGGAACAGAAAGAAACAACTTTTATTGTCTTAACTGAAGGTAAGTAAGGTCAAGAGCACTCTAAAATTTGGAGGCATAATGGTCACAGGCAGACAAAAACATTTAACTGCTTTGCACTTTAGGAAGACATCGGGCTGTGATCAGACTGCTGAGCAGAGCAGGCAAATGAAGCAGTAGAATCCACTTCTGCTGTGCCACACAGAAACTCAGCATGGACAGACACAGCCAGGAGCAGCTTCTTACCTGTCCACTGCCTGCTGACACAGGGATGGGTCCAGTTTAGATAAATGTGTCTTAATTTTCTATTCAGATCTAGTAAAACAAATCAGTTACCTGGCAGAAAACAGTTTATCAATACTGAACTAAGCCTCTAGATGACATGTGATTTACAGGAATTCTGAGTAACAAGGACCACGAAGATACTGTTGGGAATCATTTGTCCTGGCAGCTGAACTATGCACAAGGAATGCATCATGTTCCAGGCAAATGCATTACAATTTCTTGAAACAACATAAGAACAAATTAGGAGAATTTCACACAGACATTAAGTCTGAAAATAAGGCAATCATAGTTCATAATTAGAAAAGCATTAATTGCAAGTGGTAGAACAGTAAAAAGCTTGAAAACAAATGACAAATGCCTCAAGAGTGCCTAAAATCACATTGATTCGCCATTCCTACAACATAATGCCCAGCTGTGGTCTCTGAACCAATGCAGATCACAGGAACAACGAGGGGTAGAACCAGAAAAGAGGCCTCTGGAGAAGTCCAACAATATTTAGATCCAGCGAGCTGAGCAAGCAGCCCAGGTCAAAATTTTGATGCACCATGCATCAAACCAGCAGGCTTCCACCTCTCCCAGCTGTAAGGATCAAAATAACCAACTCTGTTGCAGTGATTTACCAAGAGATGACAGTTACATGCACAGGAATGCACAGGTTAGATAAACATAAGGGCTCTTCAAGCTGGTTTATCGAAAGATATCGTTAATAGACAACAAAAGTTACACTGACATTTTTATTTAATAGACGTTTTCCCTCTCAATTTTGCTGCACAATTACATTAAAATTGGTTTAGTATCTCAGTGATGATTTGCATTTTCATGGCACCTCTTGTAAAACTAAATCTCACTGCAGACTTCATTGTAAAGCAGTTAATTATAAAGCAGTTGCAGTGTGGCCACATACAGACAAATAATGACATCTTCTGAATGCTTATTTGTTTGTAATAGGCAATCCTGAACATCTGCATGGGTTTGTAAGTATTCATCACTGATGTCAATATTGTCAGCTTTGACTATAATTGGAAATAAACTGGGGAAGAAAAACTGAAATAATCACACTCCATTATGACATATTATGACATTTTTTTACTGGGCAATTTCCACTCTCCACTAGCAGCAGCCAAGCAGAAACAAACATCATGTGCTCAAATCAATCTCCAATGGACAGATCAAGCAGAGTTGTACTTTGGTAGTACACTATCACATAACTGGGATTTTTTCTTTTCCTTTAAATATGCTTCCCAGAATATTCCAGTAATGGTAATTCTTGTACAAATAAAGGGTAAGGATGCTAATAGCAATTTTGAGCTTTATTCTGCATTCTTTCATAGTTCAGGAGGAGGATAGGAAGGAATAAATAAAGATGAATAACAGCTTCTCTATTGTTTATAAAACCTAAAAACTACTTTCAAGTGCTGCACTTGCACTGCTGTAGCTTCTGAAACAATTTAGTGTGCACTGGAAGTATGTCAGTTTGTGAGACACCCAAAAATTTTGTATGAGGATTTCCACATTGGTTGCTCATTTAGACTGCAGCAGCACAAGTTCTCTGGGACCCTCTCTGTTGATGCAGTTGCTACCTCAGCCTTGCACATCAGGCCAAAGCAACATTAGTAATATTAACTGCACCTGGGGTACAAAACCTTGCCCTTGTTACGGCACCTGCCAGAGATTATCTGAAGCTGATTGCATGAAATGGTTTCCAGCTGAAAACAAGGTGCTTTCAAGTCAACTCATGCACTTAGTATATAAGGGAACACTATTCTTATTGGAAAATATGTCTGGGATGTGGAATTATAGAAATGGTATCCCATTAAGGATTATTGTACTATGAAGTTATAATTCAATTTTAAATTTTTTCATAGACCTCAATTACACAGTATAGATTAAAAAATCAGTATAACATTAAAAAGCTGTGCAATAAGTAGCAGTTTAGCAGAACACTAGGAGGAACTGTAGACACTACTCGTCCATCTTAGCTATAATCATATTAAAAGGAAATTAATGATGTGGTAAAATTGCAAGACAAAATTAAGTGATTTAGGTTTTCCACGGTTAGCTATATCACAGTGAGACCTACTTATTTAAGCTTCATATAGATTAATATAATTTAGCATTACCCAACTGCCTTATAGATATTTTTGTGTGTCAGTGGCAAAAGAAGGTAGATTTTCCTCTAAGATACTTTTTTAGTACCCCTTACACAGGTTCCCTTTTACAGATGCTCAAGTTGCACTTAGAAACTTAGTTTTCAAACACCAACCAGTTACTTATCTTCACAGTAAAATTTTAGTTTTAAATTTGAATATAATTTTGTCTTCCATCTGCTTTCTTGTTGTCTAAAATCAGAATTTTCAGTAGCTGTATTATCATTTTCAACCATATGTTTATATCAGCTAGATGACTGTTGGCTTTCACTTCAGATAGTTTACATATCTGAGTTCCTGGTGGCTTTTGTCTGTTTTAAAGCTAAAATTGCAAAGCCTTAATTTCTTTGGGACAAGGTATTAAATTTTATCAACTTGTATTTTGAGAGCAACATTATTACAGTAATGAAATAACATTTTCTGATTTCTTTGAGATGAACTTGTATAAGTACCTAAAACACATAATGCAGCAATAACATGTTTTCTAACCATT